TTAGACTATAGCTCATATCATGATTACACTAGGGTGGTGAACACCAGAGGAGGAGCGAGGCGGATGCAACAACCAAGCATGATGCTGCTTCGTACCATGACCATGCAAGGGTGAGAAACACTACAAAGCGCGTAGGGCTTGATTGGTACCCCATGACCATGCAAGGGCGGAACACTACAGAATACCCAGCATGATGTTACTCGTGCCATGGCCAAGCACGTGTAGTGAGCGGAGTTAGCGCAAGTACGTCAAGCAACGCATGAACTTACGAGTAGGTTCCTTCCGCAGCTGGCTGTGTTCCAGGCATTGTCTGCCTCTACGACTACGAATCACTGAGTAAAACAAGAGACAACTTAAGCCTAGCAGCGCTATCCTTCGCCACATTCCCAACATATTCCACAAGTACACCAATTTGGAGAACATCCCCCCACATGATTCCTTTCCCACATGGGCGGGGCGCCTGCCAGCAAAGCCTCCTGCTCACCAACGATGCGATGACCAATCAGAAGCTGCTGCGTGGCAGAAGGGAGCCCCACAGCTTCCTCCACATGGTATGGAGGTTTCAAGACCCGACAACCCAATGGATGTTCCTTGTAGTTCTCATTGCTTTGTCCAAACAACAAACTGTAAGCCTGACTGTAGAGACTCCCCAAAAATGAGGCTCCCATTTTTTCTGAATACGCATGTGAGACTACTTAGGGGACATGCGTAAGCACGAACACTTCTACGTACTCGTGGCGACTTATCATGTGTACAAATGCAGGGTGTGAATAAGTGTGTGAAGTGTCACGCGCATGTACAAAGACATGCGTCATATGCGAATACAACATCACGGGGTCATTCATGCCTCCATCTGTGAGCATATATGCGTATGGTATGTGATCACGCACATGTGCATGCGTGTCTAGTTCAATGCAGAAGTAAAGACTTTACGAGGCGCAAGCGACATGCTAGATCGTTGGCTTCGGCGCGCTGGCAGGCAAGCCTCCGCTCAGGCATATGAACAAGACCATACTGCAAACAGACATATGGAAAGCTTGTCCCGAGCTCTGGCACAAATCCTTGGTTGCCCCTCGCACTAGCTGCCAGAAAACATGGAACTACCTGGTTCTTCTAGCAGGCAGACTCACATGATCAGTCCTCCACAGCACGTTTCAGCTCCAAGCCCTGCGCAGCTTGGGGCAGGGGGAAGCGCCCCACCTCACGGCCAGCTGGGCCATGGACAACGAAGACCACTTCGTCAGGCTGTGCCATGGCTCAGACGATAAACCCTAAATCCCAAACGCTAAACCCTACAGTAGTTGCCATTTTCTTTTCCAGTATCCTATACCAACCCCTATATAACCCCTACATAACGCCTAGGCCCTATACTATCCCTACATAACCCCTACACAACCCTATATAAGCCTATACAACTAACCCCTACATAACCCCTACATAACCCTATATAACACCTACATAATCCCTACATAACCCCTTTAGACCCCCATATAATCCCTACAGAATCCCTATACAATCTCCCACAGGAAGACTTGCAGTTTCACCCTTTCAGCCTCCAAGACTAAGCTTTGAGTTTCGACAGTTGCGAAGAGAATTAGGGTTTAGGTTGTTTTTTTGTAGCCCTCTTTTCCGTCCGCCAGGGTCCGGAAATGCGTGATTACGCAGGAGCAAGGGTGCACAGCCAGCGAAGCAGCCAGGAAAACAAGCTACCTCAAAGCCGCAGCCTCTCCCAGTCCCCATACAGGACAGGGTCCAGCGCACAAGGGTTTAGGATTTGGGTTTAGGAGTTAGGGTTTAGGGTTTAGGACTTAGGGTTTAGGGTTTAGGATTTGGGGTTTAGTGTTTAGGGTCTTCTGCGGTCACCTAGCTCTCTGTATAATGTATTGGGGTTATATAGGGATAATGGACAAGAAAATGGAAACTACTTTCGGGTATAGGTAACATAATCTCCCCCTGTAATGGGGAACGAAATGGAATGGAAAATGAAATGGAAACTGTGGTAAAACAGCGATTTAAGGAGCTTGATTTTAGTTACTGCATTTTCTTATCTGTTTTCCTGGTTATGGCATCCCCCAGACTTGGCTGTAGAGGGAAGGGGAAGGCATGCAACGTGTACCTGCTGCTAATCCAGATGCAGCTCTTGGACAGGGGCTTGTACAATAGCCCACGGTGAAAGCTAGCCCCATGACAACTACCTCAAGCACCCCCGCCCTGACTTCTCCATGACTACGTAGGGCTTTGAGAGGAGAACCTTACGTCGCGCTTAAGTGGGAGCCCTGCAGTCAACCTAGAGAACCTCCAGTGTCCGACCCATCCCCCTCCTGAAAAAGTCTAGACCCTAGCCTAAACTCGAATCCCCGACCCCTCGAAGCTTAACCCTAGACCCGGAAACCGAACCCTTGTTCAAGCAATCCTCTGATAATATGCAGCCATACAAGTGAGTCAGTTGATACCAGGACATTGCGCATTCTTTCACATATCTTGAGAATGGGGGTATTCCAGTATAAGAAAGTCCTGCGGGATTTTTAGATGTGAATCATGGTTTTCCTCATCAGTCTCGGGCCTGGGCTGCTTTCTGCCCCACTGAGGCCAAAGGCCACGCAGCCCGCGAGGAAGATGGAAGCTGCCCAGCCTCCTTGGAGCTTATTAACGTGCAGAGATTCTATGAGAAATACTTGGGAGGCTCTCAAAACTCCTGGGATGTGTACGGTCCAGGAATGCATGCGGATTATTTGCATGAACTTTCGTGTCAGGAATTTGACACAGACGGTGGTAGGAGCAGATCATGACATCAAAATGATCGGCAGAGGGTCTGTCAAAATTCCATGTGACTTTTTTGGGAGTTTGCTGAAATGATTATAACTTCTTTGTTTTGTCTGTAAACTTAATAGTAACTCCTAATATTGAACATGCTTTCTGTGTACCGTCTGGAAAATGGGCCCACACACGCCCAGCCTGCCAATCACGCATATGGAGTGTAAATGGGTCTGCGCCTATGCTTTCACTGCAAACTAGGAAAAGCTTGCTCTGGCCTGCTATGGCGTCCAATTCAAGGCCAAGATGACGGGCAGAGGGCCGAAACACCTCCAGCCCGCCGCGAAGAATTGCTTTCTCATCCCCACCAAGAAGTAAAACCCCTAAACCCTAAACCCTAAAACCCTAAAACCCTCAAGCCCCAAACATGTAAAACAAGAACCCTCCTGCTATCCACCCGCAAGAAACACTGCTTTCATGGGTTCAACTAGTACCCCCCCCTCTATACTACCCCCCCTAGATTCCCGCCTTAATTAAGATCATTTAGGGATCTAGAGGGAAACCCTAAACCCTAAACCCTAAACCCTGAACCCTGAACCCTAAACCCTAAACCCTAAGGGGTACTACTTGAACCC